AAGAAGAGGAAGAAGAAGAAAAAGGTAAAGATAAAAATTATGAACAACAAATACATATCTATCAACAAGTGAATCTAAAAATCAAGTGAATAAAAAATCTGATGAACAGAATAAACTGGTGATTATAATAGAATCAGGGGCATAGAAAGGGAGTGGGACACTCAATTCTCGGGTGGAAAAAGGGGTGTGGGGGGTGCGGGAAGACACTGAACAAAAATCATACACCTATGGATGAGGACATTGGGGGCGGGGGTAAGGGCAGAGGGTGGGGTGGGAACCGGGTGGAGGAGAGCTATGGGGGAAAAAAAAAGAACAACTGTAATAATCTGAACAATAAAGATTTAATTAAAAAAAAGATAGAGGTGGATTAAGGGTAAGATAATGTGGGTCTGAGTGGAATGGGCATCCCTGCTTCAGATCATTGATTCTTGCTTATTTAGCTAACCATGCATGGCACACAGCAGGTGTTCAATATGAGTACTGATATGTAAAAGTCAAGATGAACGTAGTCCTAAGGAGTAAGAGCAAAATATATATTTTCTAAGTGAGACGATTGCTAATGGTTAAGGAATCAAAGAGTAAATTTAGTGGGAGCCATCCTAGGGCATCACCTGCTATGTACCCAGGTCTTCCAGTGTGTTGGGCATGAGGTACTCTATCAGTTAGTGAAGTGCTCTGGGAGCAATGCATGACCTTACCACACTGTGTTTAGGGGCATCTGACAGGATTCCACTGGAGAGGGTGTATTGCTCAGACTCTGCTTTGGTTTTCCTGACACCCTTCCACCATTTCCTGTATTGCTCCCGGACCTGCAGAGACAAAGCATGCTCTGAGTCAGCTCACTGAGAGGGGTGAGAATGGAAAGAGTCCTGGGTGGGAGGTGGACAGTGGTACCTGCTGGCTGAGGAGACAGTACACCAGGAAGATGAAGACGCCCTGCAGGCTGTTGATGATGGTGAAGAGATAGGCCATGGCGTGAGCAGCTGGACCCACCTGCAGGATTCCCAGAAACCACGTGCAGCCCAAGATGAAGAGCTGAGCTATCGCTTTAAATGTCAGCATCCTTGGTAGAAGGAGAAGAGAGGCCCATATGCACCCAGAACAACAGAATCAAGGCCATTCTCATCTCCACCCAATGAATGCTCCTGCCTTCCCCTGTGGGTGATGAGTTCACAGACAGACTTGTGTTCAGCTTTGACCTTTACTGTCAATGATTCTCCACAATAGAAATGCTACTTGGGTCCAGGGTGGCATTTGGATTGAACTGAATAGGGTTGTGACACTTCATAATGTAAGTTTCAAAAAAAAAAAATTCTATAGTGCTCCTTGGTGATGCCTAATCTTATCTAACCAACATTACCAAGTGTGTTCTGTGCATCAGGCTGTGTGCTGGGGCCTGGGCATTAAAAGTCACAGAGGCAAGATTGCTATTTTCATAAAGGTCACAGGCTATTCCAATGACTAATACAGTGGAATAATGACATGCAAAATTTAGAAAGGATACTGGAGAGGGGTGAGAGGGAGCCTGAACCTAGAGTGAGTATGAAAGTGTAGACTGGGTTGTGGGAGGAGTTATAGATTTTTAAGGGCACACAGGTTCTTTGTACTTTTGTTGTAGGACTGCTGACAAAAGTCCAAAGAATGTTTATCAACAAATGTCAATTATTCCTTTTGCTGAGGGAGTTATAAGGAGATTAGAGACAGAACACTGTGGCTGGGAAGTCAGCAGCCCACCACTGAATCCAAGCTGGCTGCCATTGGAGGACAGCAGCATCTCTTTACTCTTGGTTCCCTCAGAAGACCCCGAGAAGGGACGTCAGGGCTGCTGAGGCACATGGATTTGCTCTTGGGACCACACATGTCTGTGGGGTTGTCACCCTCTTCTCCATTTTACCTTGTATTCTTGAGGGTGGACACATCACTGTTGAGCGAAGAGAGTTTGCTTTTCAAAATGCAGAGGGTCATCAGAAAGAAAGCTAGATTGACCTTCAGGAAAACACACAAGGTTTAGTGAATAATATTTTAGTTTGTTATCTCTAGTCTAGCCTGTCCAACAGCAATTGCACACTTAAGTAGTTTTTATATTTAGTAACAGTGTTAGAGCTTGTAGTTTTAGGAGCAGTCTTAGAAAACCAAAGCAAACCCAAGACAACCCAGGGACATTCTTGCTCATGTCATCCTTTCGCCTCCTTATAAGTCTAATGACCCTCAGCTGAGCCTTAAGGATGCTCTGATGTCTTCACTCACAAAGAGGATGGCGCAGACTGGTCCAAGGAAGCCCCATATAAATCCCTTTTCTGGGTGGAGCCAGCAGCTAAGAAAGAGAGAGAATTAAAAATGCATTGGTCCTTAGAAATGTAGAACAGTTATGCAAATTCATTCATTAATTCATTCATCAACAAACATAGAGTGTCTCTTCTGTGATAGCCTTGTGGTTGGCTCTGAAGATACTGTTGTGAAGAAAGTACGCATGGTCTTCAATCCCACACATCTCGAAGACACACAATGAGACACACTGCAACAATAAAACAAAAATGGAAAGCTAACGCTCTATCCACTGAGCCAAAGCAGCTAGGACTGACTTTTTAAAATTATGACTTTTTTGAGAGGTAGCTCACATACCTTAACATTCACCCATTTAAACTGTACAGTTCAGTGACCTTAAAATATTCATAGAGTTGCCCTAGCTTGTTTGGCTCAGTGGATAGAGCATCGGCCTG